CACACGTACAGGCAATATTTGGTTCAAAGGGTGTCGAGAAGGGATTGTCAAAGGGTCTTCGGGAGCTCAGTGATTGCATGAATTCACGTTTACGAGCAATTCGAACCCTGGCCACTACGCAACAGATTTTGGATGGGCTTCTAATACACATCGTCACTCGAAAGCTGGATCATAGGACGCGTGAGAAATGGGAAGAGGATTTATCGATCACGGAGCTGCCTACCTGGGAAGCTATGGAGTCGTTTTTGGAGAAGAGGTGCAGGATGATGGAAAACTTGGATCAAGCCTGGGTAACTCAAACACCAGGCCAGCAGGTGGGAAAAAACTTGCGCACATACAATCCAAGTGCACTTATTGCTTCTGCCACTACCTCAAGTCATCAGATATGTTGCGATGCAAGGGATCATTATTTGCAAAAATGCCCTCGATTTTTGAATTTGAGTCCGAATCTTCGGTATCGAGAAGCAAAGAAGTTGCACCTTTGCTTGAACTGTTTGCGCAAGGGGCATAGTTTGCAGCAATGCAAGTCGACGCACTGCAGATATTGCCGCATGAAGCACCATTCATTGTTACACATAAACCATGACCCATCCGCACCATCCATCTCATCTGCATCTCCATCAATCTCTCATCAATCCATCGATCCATCCTCGAGCTCTCAGCCATTGCCATCCACTTCATCATCAGCATTAGTGTCATGTGCTCAACCATCACCTCATCCTGAGCATCACATATCAAGCCCTCCACCCAAAGCCTCAAATATTATGCCGATTGATTACGTGTTGCTTCCGACTGCAATTATTTACTTGAGAAATAGAAGTGGAGCATGCCAGCTATCGTGCGTCATTCGCAGCTGTTGTGACTCACAGTATCACGGATTACCAGCCCCATTTCAATATAGATGCAACATCATGGAGAATTCCGCAGAACATTTCGCTCGCTGATCCTTATTTTAATCAATCGCAACGAATTGACCTTTTGCTTGGCGCTGATTTGTTTTTCCAAATAATTTCCACAGGAAAAATTCATTTGGACAGGACTTTGCCAACTCTTCAGAACACCAAACTTGGTTGGATAGTCTCTGGAGGGTTATCGAGTATGCCCAGCCCTGCATCGAGGAAGTCACATCCGGCGGAGACGGCGTCATCAGAGTAGCTATGGTCCGTACAGCTACGGGTCTAATCAAGAGAGCCGTCGCCAAACTAGCCGCTCTGCCCATCGATTCCGAGATAGTTGGAACCGTACCTCTTCCAACGGGGGGAGTATGTTCGGAGCAGACCGCCAGCACCTAGTCACGCGCGCATAGGTGTACCGCTGCACCTGCAGCGCTCTTATGTTTTCTCTTTTCTGCTCTTTTCTTATCTCGCTAAAGCTGTCGCGTTATCTATCAGCCAAACTACATTTGTCATCCCATAAACATTTATATATTCTGAAGCCAAGCTTTGTATACTCACAGTCTGCAGCTCCGATAAAACAAACACATTAAAACGGCTTATATTAAAATACCTATCGTGCGTCTTTTTATTATAAACTAAAGGGTGGCAAATTCGTTGTCTTCCCCACAAACAAATACATTAACATAAAAACCATATCTAAGCAGCATGGATGCGATATCTATCCAACGTATTTTGCGCTTACTCAAATAAAATTAAAATTTAGACCCAAGCGAATTATTTATTCTGAAACAAAGGCAAGAGTATCGCTTTAAGATTTATTAAATATGCTGACCGCATATTGAAAATTCAACAAGAAGTAATTTGTCAATTACACATTACGCATTGTAAACTTATTGCCAGCTATGGCTTTAATGGGTCAAACGGGCAAAGTGTATATAAATTAATTAAATTTTAAAATATGATTGTACAACAATTTAAAATATGTTACGAAATTAGTAAAATTAAAATTATTCTAAGTATGATTGAGAACTATTTTAATTTATTTAAACATATATTGAAAGGGGCGTTACAAAAGGCGTGGTCAAAATAACATAAAAAAATATATAGGAAATTTAATTACAATTAAATGTTGAAAGTTTTAATCGTATATCTTAAATATTCTAGGAATCAGACCTCATGCCTAAAAATCAAAGACTATTTGCCCAAAGCTTTAAGGTGGCGGAACGGAAGGCGTGGTCAAACTGTAAAAAAAAAAAAAAAACCGAAATTCAGATATAATATTTTAGGCATATATGCAAAGTTTCAAGCCTATATCTTCAAAATTAGAATTGATGCCAAAAAAATCAATTTTTTGCCCATAGTGCAATGCAGCTTCTTCTTACACCGAGCTGAAGCAGCTCGAGATGCGCAAAAGCACAGCGTCTGTAGACAGTCTTACACTATCGGATGTAGCTGGCAGTCCTCATGGCTTCCACCCAAATCGGCGCGGCATACAGGACAGTCGAGGTCACCACTGTAGCTATCAGTCGTCTGCTATGCTGCTTGGGTCCACGAGTGTTGGCCATCATTCTCGAGATAGCAGCGGTGGCTGCTGCATACTCCAGGTGCCTCTTAAAATTCAGCCTATGGTCGATCATGACTCAAGTGATCGCCGGACTGGACTCGACGTTTGTCGAGCCGACCCGGAAGTTGACCTTCTCTACGGTCTTTCTGCTGCTTATGAGCACTGCTTCCGTTTTGTGTTCGGCGAGCGAGAGACCGTTGTCTTTCAACCAAGACATAATCATGTCGATTGCGAGGCTGCATTTAGCGGAGACATTGGACAGGTGCTTCTCCACCGTGACCAGCGATAAATCGTCATCGAACCCTTCTACGGCGCAGCCATCTGGTAGTGGGAGTCTCAGGATCCCGTCATACCTACCGCACGAATATAGACGACGCCCTGGACAACGAGAACAAGTAGACGAATTGGTATACATCCCTGAAGAAGACGACCCAAGAGAGAAAAACGGCAACGACGCGAAAAGACGACGACGATTAAAAAAGACGACGAAGCTCTTTGGCTAGAGCAACGACGATCGACAACGAGAGGCCCCGTGCCGAGAGATGTCGAGCAGTACTAGAGGCTCCGTGCATAGAGCAACGACGATCGGCAGGAAGAGGCCCTGTCCCGAGCAACGACGAGCAGAACAAAAAGCCCAGTGCCGAGAGAGTAAGGAGAGAGTTCTGCGCAAGGGAAGACGAGAGTAAGAAGTATTTATCCAACGACGCGACGACGATAATATATAATATATAAACATTTATATTAACCTAAAGTGAACTTAATATTTATCATATACATACTTCTAAATAAAACAATCAATATAAATAAAAACCCCCACATACATGACGTTCCACAGTATTGGCAGAAGAACAGAGCCCTGGGGTACACCTCTTGTCACGTGGTGTACCTGGTCGCCGTCGTCGGATATGTACAGAAGGACGCGATCTTTGAAGTAGTCCGCTATCAGGAGAGTGACGTTCCCTGATATGCCGCCGCGTTGGAGTGCCTGCAGGACTGGCTCCAGTTTGCTGAGTTAAAAGCGTTATTGACAGCTAGGGTGCAGACTAGGCAGTATTGCTTGGTGCCTCCCTGCCATCTTTCGCCTTTACCTCGCGTATCGCGTCGATTTCTCTCTCCAACTTGTTGCAGATGATGCGCTCAAATGCAAAGGGGCGATATGAAAACGGGTCGTCGGTTATTTTGCCTGGTTTGGGGATGAGAAATAGTCTCTGCTGCTTCCATGCTCTTGGAAAGGTGCGTTCAGCAATGCACCTAATAATGTATACATGTGCAAATAGGCTTGGGTAAGCCTTCATTATGGCATGCAGTGCAGCGTTGGTAATGCCATCAGGTCCCAGGGCTTTGGCTGCCTTGCTGCTGCCCAACGCGCACAGTATTTTCTCCTCGCGTATTCCGTAAATTCGTTTTTTGACGTCAGATATACCCATCTCGACATAACTCTACCAGTGTACTGTGACGATTTGTTGGTTTCGGTGGCTCAGAAACGGCCAAGGTTCGTCTCAGAAACTTATTTTATTTATTTAGGCCCTAAGGTCTACCTATGTATATAGAGAAGTGTGTGTAGGCTCTAAAGTCTTCCAATATAGAGAAATGTGTGGAAGCCCAAAGCTCTCTCAATATAGAGAAGTGTGTGAAGGCCCTAAGGTCTTCCAATATCGAGAAGTGTATGGAGGCCCTATGGTCTACCAATTAGTAAGATATGGTCGGGTCCAATTATTATATCAATTTACTAGTATGCCTTACTTGTCTCTGATATCCGCTCCAGGGAACGACTCCTTTGTAGGTTCCTTATTCTTCATTCCTCATTCCTTGAATGAGCTACCAAGGGCTGTGGCCCGTCTTATATAGGGCCAGTATATATATATATATGAAATGGGAATCTGCCTAGTTTGCAAGTTTTGAATAACTTTTAAGACGACAAATCTGTTGCTAAGGCGGCTGGCTCTGCTGCTGAGGCGGCTGGCTCTGCTGCTGAGGCGGCTGGCTCTGCTTACTTCCGCCTGTTTCCAAACTCAGAATTTATCCACACAGTGAATTGGTTAATGACCATTCATCTGTGTCGTTAAGGTCTGGGGGGCGGCGGTATGTCCGCGGCAATGGGTGTGGTAACTCGGGCGCCCTTCCAGTTTGATTGTTAAATTGTTAAATTATTAAATTGTTTTTAGTTCATTGTTTGCTTTCGTACTTCATTTGTTCTTCTTATTCTGATACTGAGAAAATATATTAATTTAGATAAATACAAGGATGTGTTTGCTCGCGGGATTCATTGGACTTAGACTAAGTAGTTTCTCCGTATAATAAAAAAACAAGTTGGAAAATTAAAATAATTATATATTTTACTACATATATTATACATTTTTATGGGGGGTATGAGATATATTTAAATATTCAAAACAGTATATGTTAAGAACTGTAAAATAAAATAATAATAATATACAAATACCTAATTGCAAGCTTGAGCTTAGCGAAGTTAAGTCCTATTCTTGTTTTGCAGACAAAAACTTAAATACAATTTTCTTAATTTTTTTTTCTTTTTATAGGTTAGAAGCTGCCACTATCCTAACACTACCCAAGGAATTGACCGGTCTACATAAGGCGTATATTGAACATTTTATTACATATTGTTGATTTCTTATATTTGTTTTTAGTAAATTCTTAATAAGAAATTCTTGTAAAATTATAAATGTATGCCTGAACTATATAAAATGTTTTTGTTCGTAGGGTGGTGGCGAATCCTTCCGCTATAATCCCACGACACAATCGAAAAAAAAAACCCATTTTGTTCGGGGGTTACTCCGGATGGTACTTTGCTGAGCGCACATTCACTTTATTTCACTTCAGTTAAAAAAATTAATTCTAGCTTACATCTAGAATCGAACTCTCGCCTGAAAGCGGGAGAACGATGAAGGAAGGAATTGGAAAGGTCCCAAATTTGGCTTAGCAGGGTGGCGATCAGAGACAAAGGTGCGAGAGCGGACTAGCTTCTGAAAGTGTGGTGGCCTAAACATTCCGGCCCAATTGCAATCACTCGAGTTGCAACTATCCTTGTTAATGGTTGATGGTCGGCTCCTGACAAGACCCATTGAAACACCAAGCTTTCGGCCACAAGTAATCCATCTTGAACCTTTAGGAAATCCGGTTGAATCACTTTGGGGTACACATCAGACCCAAGAATCACTAAAAATAGGAATGGGGAACGTAGAACCGCTCATCTGTTAGCTTGACATCACGGATATTAGACCGAAAGACTTCGCTCAGTTCTCGGATCGGAGTGCGTTTTACATCGGCGTTTGTTTTAGGGTGGACTGTTGGGAATCAGATCCGTTCAGCAACCACACTGGTTATACGCCAGCGAAAAGAAGCAGCTATCGACGCGTCAATGCAGTTTATGGGCTTGCAGGAATTGATGAGGTCCGCGGTGTAGAATGTTCTCGATCCGGTGTCAATCCGCACCAGAGCTGTCGGGAGGCTGTTAATGTATAGACGCTGAAGCAGGGATGTGAGCGATTGTGTCGATTCAATTGTTGGGGCGCTCTGTGGAGAAGCGGACAAGTGCCTATGAGAGAGAGAAGCATGCCGTAGAGAGGCGGGGAATCGTGCCATGATGAGGTAGGTAAGCGACAAGAAGACGCCGAAGACGACGTGGAGGCATCGAACGGTTGTGCATATGCATGAGCTTATGGTGGCGTTGGTTTCACGTCATGCAGCAGTCGCCGCGGCGGAATTTTTCGTAGGAATGCTTGGTACGGCTGGAAAAGTACCGGTTGACGAGCAACAGTAGGACTACGTACCTTGAGCACGTTTGTTCTTCAAAGCGATGGCGCTGTATGGAGGTTGTGTATAATCTGTTTGATTGAATAGAGTAAAGAAAAGTAACTATCAGTAAAGTACGAATTAGATCGAAATAGATGTGGGACTTTTTATTGTGAACGATCAGAGGGGCCTATTGGAAAAAGTACATCTCTGCAGATTGAACGCATTACAAGTCCACGAACAGTTGTTTAGCGGATGTTTAGCCCTCAGACTTGGCTATCGGCTCTGGGAAAACCAGAGTCCATCCGACCTAGCCGCCACTTGTTAGATGGCAGGTTATCGTTCGTGATGACCACCATATCCACTACCATTTATTCCATTTGTGGGATTCCTTAATGTACTCTTTCATCGCTGACCAAATTGCTGATGCAGAGCTCTTTGATCTCACCTTCTATCTGGGGATTCAATAGTGGCGAGAAGGGGTCTTCCAACATGAAATTGTCCTGGCGTTAGGCCAAACGAGTCTGTCGGGACCGCTGATATTGGAGACAGTGGTCGCGAGTTCAGACAAGTCTCGATCTTAGCTAGAAGCGTGGACTTTTCCAAAAATGTATATTTGCGAGTGGCTGTAGATTTATAAAATAAAGTCTTGAATCTCTTGACGCCTGCTTCCACATAAGCCTCCATTGTATGGGGCTCCCGGAGGAATGAACTGCCTGAGATGTTGCTGGTAACTAAATTTCTCGTCATAGACTCCTTTAGAGATTAAAAAAATTAAGCCAAAGCGGCAGAGCCACAGTAGTACCGAAGATTTACGGGCTGCCATTATATTGGAGGATAAAGGAGGCAGTGACCCGGCGACATGCTCTTATGAGCCCATGAGTATCGAGGAATGGATTCATGCTGTGAACAGAATTGTATGTTGGCATTTGACGCTTTTGGCTCAAGCAATCAAACTGAAGAGCGAAGTGTCTAAGTTGAGTGGTGGAAATTAGGAGCCGTTCGGTTTCGGCGATCTCAGTATTCGACAAGTGATTAAAACATGGAAATGCTGATTTACGCGAACGATGGATGAAGCTATGTACGCAAGCAATGACAGCGCCTTGTTGAGCTTGGAGAATCGTTCCAGAATATCTTCGGGAGGGCCTTTCCCACATGACCTTAACCGCTCGTTTCTTAAGTTCAGTCACGACTGAGTTATCACACAATGGTCGGGCTTGTATGCAGCTCGCTAACTTAAATACTTCAAGTGGAGATAAAAATATATTAAAAGTATAATAAATTAAGCAAACAAAAAAATCTTTAATTTTTAAAAAACTCTTTTAGTTACAACCTATGCTCCAGGCTACATATCAATATTTTAAGATAAAATTTTATTTTATTTTTAATTTTAACGATAACTTTGTATATTATTTTATTTTAAATTTTATTATTCCAAAAGATCATACACGCAATTTTTAAACAGACTTCTTTTTAGGAGGCAATATTCGTTGTCCTGATTAGATGAAAGGAAACTACGATTGAGACATCATTTGATGTGTGACGAAGTCACAAAACCCTATTTTGTAAATACTGTAAATATTAGTTAAGTTTATAGTTAAGTTTAGCAATTAGTAAGTTAGGATTAGCCATACCACACACCCACACCTCACACACACACTCACATACACAAAGTTAAGTTGCCCAAGAAGGGCCAAATTAGAGTTAGATTAAGACCGCAACGCACAGGCGTATACATTTTTCCAACACGGACTGTAGCGACCGCGCTGAAGACATTTCCCCTCTCCGCTGCCGACGCGAACAGCGGCAGAGGCAGCGACATTTCCCCTCCGACGATCGTGCGTGTTTACGTCTTGGTCGTGTGTTTCTACATGCCGATCAAAACATAAACAATAACAATAACAAAGCCGACGGCCGAAAAGCTGCGCTGCCCGGACATTTTTGGCAGAGACGAGGTGACAAGGGCTTTGCAAGCTGCGACCGCGATCTCTTCTCTGGCAGCTTCGAAGGCGATCGTTACGCATCTCTCCCGCCGCGGGCGGCAAGTCCTCAAAGGACACGTGGTTTTCCCCAAACGACTAAGTCCCAAAAGGGACACGCGAGTGCCCTTGCATATCCTGGCTGCAGGACACGTCTCCCAGTCCACCGATAACAGCGGGTGAGCCGGCTGCGAGCCATGTCAGAGTAGCGTTTACTGGAGTGTGGCGTAGGGCCAGGTTAGGGACGGCAGTCATAGGTTAGGAAAACGTAGACAATAATTAATTAATGTAATAAAGCACAGAAAATGAATTCAGAAATTCCATCGTCTTTCTCCCTCGCACCCGCATAAAACTCCGCGTTGTTAAAAATAATTCCTTATCGTGACGCGCGCCAAAGTGTTCCCCTCCCGCTCACTCACTCGCCGAGCTGGTGGCTGGGTTCTCCCGCACCAACTTCGCGTGGCCGCTGGGCAAGCTCCGGGCCGGAGAAGCGGGACGGGAACGGGATTTGTCGCCGCTGGGTTCTCCCGGGAACAGATCTGGCGTGGGGCATCGGGGCTGCTGGGTTCTCCCGAGCTACGAGTTCATCGCCGCCGGCACGTGCTCAACGATTTTCCCCTCTACCCTCTCCTTTCCCTTTCGATCTGCATTTTGCCCGCCATCGCCGCTGGGTCATCCCGGGCGGCGGAGATTTTGCCGATCGAAAGAGTCGCCGCTGCTGGGCAACCGAGCGGGCGCAGGAAAACGGAGGAGCACCTGGCCATCGCCAGGGTGACCGTCCAAGATTCCCATTTTCCCGAAACCAGAGTTCCCCTTTTGAAAACGAGCCCCTTTTCGCTGCCATTTTGCCCATAGAAAGTTCAATAAAAATTTGGCGTCCATGTCCTGGCCGTCTCTAAAAATATAAATATTTCTGGAGAGGAATCCTGGGCCGCTGAGGTTTACCCCGGCCTAAGACACATCCTTACAGATGGCGCCCGGAGCAGGGACCGGTCAGGACAGCCAGGATAAATTTTTTTCAGTGGATTAAAGCCCCACTGGCCGAAAACCAGAATTTGCTAGTAGGAAATTTAAATAATATAAATTTTTCTAGAAGGCAAAGGCAGGGAAATTTAGTTTTCTAAAGGACGAGGATAGAAAATTTAATCAGGAAATATATTATATAAACATATTTTTCGATCAGCGCACATTCGTTTTTCGTCCCACGTGTCGCGACGTACGATCGCCGGCAAAAATCTGCAAAAAGTACAGGAGGAAAGGGAATAGAAAAAACGCATGGTAAATTTCCATTGGTGCATACGCATCGTCGCCAAAACAAGCGGTACAGTTACGCCAGATTTCGTAGTCAACGTCACTGCCAGCGTCAACGCCGGCAGAGGGACGCTTCGCGCAAGCACACACACACGTGGCCCACACACATCTCCAGTTCTGCTCTGCCCGCGGCAGCAGCGTCGGCTAGTTTAAGCATCAATATATACAGGGGACCCTCGCTAGGAGGGACACACTTCGCAAGATCATCTCATTAAATACACATCGCTCGCAGACACTTCGCAAGATCAACTCTTGGAATAAACATCGCTCGCAGTTTTTAATACACTCGTAAAACCATCGTTGAATATACAACGTCGCAGACCTTACATCTCGAAAGACCCTATCATCGAAACTCGTCGTCGTATCCTTGCACACCGGGAAGATTTTCATTATCCTTTAACCAAGTTAAGGACGCCCGCGAACCCTCAAAGAATCCTGCGAGATCCTGCCGCCGAGAACATAATAACAAATTTCAATAAAAAAAAAAAAAAAAAATTAATGCAAATAAATAAACGGAAACAATAAAAATTAAAATAAATCGAAATAAAACAAATAAATCCAAATAAAATAATCAAATAAATAAATAAATTCAAATATAAAAATAAATTAAATAAATCCAGATGGAATAAGCCAATAATAAAATAAATCCAATAAAATTTGAATAAAATAAAAATCACCGCCGAAAATACTAAAATCGAATAA